TTATTTTTGTCCCCCCCCCCAAACAAAATTTTGCATTTTGTTGCCACACTAGGCGTATACTTTGTTTGGTGATAGGCCAAATCAAAAGGGTGGAGCATGGCACATCTATTTGCATGAATTCCGACCGACTGATAATATAGCCTTTAAGTTATTATCCGTTTTGTCGAAAAAGAATACCTACCTACCACGCAGTCTGCAGAGGGCTGTACCTTCCGACTAACGTGATGTTCATAAGCAGGGCCCGGCGTCTGGAAGGAAAGTGGTTAGATAGGCGGACCGCAAAACTGACTAAGACTTCTGATGTTGTTTGTGACTTGTGAGTGCGCGTTACGGCCACGTTTTCCTCTAGAGAGCTGCTTGGCCGATTTTCCCCCATACTTGGTACGTTTGGACATTCTCAAGTTAGTACCTACGCTTATCCATGTTATGGCCTACTAGACCCCTGGAAATCAAGTGGCACCACGTGAACTTCGCAACACGTGTACTAACCCTCGCACGACCAGGCCATTTCTCATAACACGAACGACCAGGGGGGGGGGGGTTGTTACGACCCCCCCCCCCTGGCGTTTCGAAACGGAAGGTCGTAGAGCTTAGCGGAAAAAAACCAACGGATTGCTCTCAACGAGATCTCGCGAATGGTGGTATATTTTTTGGTCCTAGGTCAACATTTGACCTACTTTTGACCGGTCAAAGGTCAAATTTTCGGAAAAATAGACTTTTTTCAACTTTCGGCGGCGATTGCGGCAAAACGGTGGGAGATATCGACTTGAAACCTTCACTATCGTGTTCCTTGATCAATTCTCTATCGTTTGGTATGTATTTCGTTTCCCTAGCTCTAAAAATGGCGCGTTGGGAGCGCCGGAAGTCGGCAAGGTCACAGTCGGCGGCAGAAATTCGAAAAATCAAAATTTAAGTTTTTGAAATCTGATTGTATTTTTGGATTTGGGAGGTCCATTTGCTCCCTATAGAAGCTAATATTGCTGCATATTCCCATTGAGGTGACAAGAATTAGCAAAATAGTGGTTCGGGCGCTTTTCAAAAATAGTACCGGACGCTGTTCCTCTTGTGACGTCATAACTCCGTGACCTGACCTGACCCGGTCAATTTTCTTGCACCATACGATAGCCAATGCTTGCCCCAACATGCATGGGAAGTTTCATCATGATCCATCAAACAATGTGGGTATCACCGGCAGAAAACCTAGGGATTCGGCGCACACGTTTGGTAACTGTCGGCCGGAGGCTGTACCTCTTATGACGTCATAACTCCGTGACCTGACATGACCCGATCAATTTTTTTTCGGCAAAAGATGCGCAAAGATTGCCCCAGAGGGTATTGAAAATTTCAGCCCGCTACGACAAGTCGTTTAGCGTGCACTTCGAAAAAACCTCAGGGGGGGGTGATACAACCCCCCCCCCCCCCCTAGGCGTTCTAGGGCTAACTTCGCTCACGACCTCACTGTTGAGTAGCAAGTCCACCAAGTTTGATATTTAACCAGAATTTCATCGCGCACCTCAAGATTACTCAGTCGTCATGTCCGTCTCTCAAGTTGTACAGCTACTCGCCTCCTGTGAATCTCGTCACCACCGCTGGCTCCCTCTGCCCTCAGATCTGGAGCTCGGAGCGCCGTCTGGCGGTAACCACCCTGGCCGCCCTGGCTGCGCTGATCGTGCTGCCGCGGCCGGCCGCCGCCTTCGTCAGTCGCCGAACGTGCTACTGCGACCTGCGCCAGGGCCGGCTCATGTTCAGCCCCCTGCTGATGGACGTGCCGGACCCGGTGCTGAAGGATTTCCTGGTGTCGTGCCGGCGGGCCGAGACCTGGTGCCCGTCCGCCTGCCGGCGCGCCGCCCGCAAAACTCTGCTCAACGGTCAGTGACCTGCACCGCTCGACGGGGAAACGGTATACTTTTGTGCCACAAGGTAATAACAGCCCGCGTCGAAACAGTCGCCAATCCGCGGTTCCTCTGCACCTGTTCTGAAATTTTGTTTATATTATCTTAGGTGTACGAAAAAGTCGACTGACTGTGTGCTCTCCCACGCTCATCAATTTAGACATCGACACGCCCTATCCCCAGCTAATAACACCAAATTGCACATAAAGCCAGCAGCATCACTATCAGCAACGTAACCAGCGTGCCTGTGGCACAAATCGAATGAGAACATTTCGAGAGTAGATCCAGCTGTGTCTCTTCATCTTTAAATAAAAATGCTAATATGGCTAGAATGGTGGTAGGGTAACTATGGGGAAAACGCACCCCTGGGTTAAACGCCTCCCCTAAAAAAATCGTATTTCTTATCGACGGATAGGTGTTTTATCCTGTCTTTCAGAACAGTCAGCTGCTTGTTTACGTAGGTCTCTATTTCCGGTTCTGAGTCTTGAGGAGCAGCGTGGGTAGGTGCTGATGCTGGTTTTGGGTGTTGTTTTTGTTGTTTTTACAGAAGATTCCTAATATTTTGATGCCCTTTTTATATCACAAAACTTGCTATTGTGCACATCACTCTAAACTGCGTTTTATTGTCATTCTGTTGAATATATTATGCTGCGGCGTTAGTGGCGCGTTTTTTGTCAATATTTTGTTGACCGGAAATGGAGTGGATGGGGCAAGACGCCTACTCGATGCATGGGGCAAGACGCCCCCAGTTTTCTGAAAGGGGGGCGTTTTGCACGGTGGTGAGAGTGCAGGGTAGCGCCCTGTAGGTCGGGGCCGAAAAGGCCTCTCCCTGTCCTTTTTTGCTGATATATCCTAAACGACTGCAGATATCGTCACCAAACTTTCAGGACTCCTCCGGGCATCCATTTTACACATTGCAACAAAATTTTATTCTAAAGGCTATGATAGGTTGACCACAAATGACGTCAGAATGACGTCAAGTTCTGCCATGTTCATCATTTTCTGTTGATAGATGGGGTGGGGGCGCTTTGCACATGGGTGTGGGCGTATTACCCAGGGTATGGGGCAAAACGCCCTTTTGCAAGGGTATGCGAAAACCTTTTTGGGGGGTTAAATACTTCACGCAGGTGTCTTTTCTTGGTCTCAAAACGTAGTAAAAAGAATGAGCTACATGATGGTGCCCAAAGGTTTAAGTAATCTGTGTTGGGTTGAGTGTCAGAAGGTTTCGCGCTTAAGGGGGGCGTTTTTGACCTATTCACCCTACCTATTGCTTTCAATCAACCAATATAAAATAGGAGCAACATAATCGCACCTTTTTCCCGTCTCTAGACCTGATTCAATGTGTCTTTTTGTCTTGTTTGATGTAAAGATATGCACTAGAACTGGAACACCACTGGTTCTTGTTTCCATTTCCACTGCCATCAATGTCCTTTTCCTTATTCTCTCGGGCTTATGATAACCATCCCAAAAGCGACAACGCTGTAATGATTCTGATTGCAGGTGGCGACGGGGACGTCTCGCCGCTCAGAGGCGCTGCTGGCGAGGCGGCCTGCACTGCCGTGGGTCACGCCACCCCCGCCGAGAATCCTGTACATGTGTACGCCACCTACCGCGTCAGCAACTGTCGGAGCAGCGGCAGCCACGTGAGTATCCTTCCTGTGTTAGCGCCCGCCGCAGCGCCTCCGGTCCTGAGGCTGGGAGTCGTGCGGTGCAGCATGCACCAGGCGCTGTTTGTAGTGACATCTAGCGGGTGGGATAAGAACTACGCTGCACTGCGGCACAGCATGAATCAGGCGCTATAAATGAGAGACGTCTAGCGAGTGGGATAAGAACTACGTTGCACTGCGGTGCAGCATGGATCAGGCGCGATAACTGAGAGGCATCTAGCGGAGAGGAAGGTAACTAAACTATACTATATGTATTGCGGAACAGCATGCGCGGTATGTAGGGCGTTATGGCAGGGAGGCATAGACTTAATTATGCTGGCTTACGAGTTTGCATTGCTGCACGGACACGGTGCACACGTTTAGCAACAGATCTTGTGGTTGTAGCGTGAGGCAACTCGTCAGGTGTCGCTGTGTTTGGATGTCGTAGTACGCGGTTATTATGGAGGGATCAATGAATATGCGTGAGGCGTATGCTGACTTCGTAAAACGTCTACTGATCGGTCTCGTCTTTCCATTCCTTTCGCCAGTACTTCGGACGGCTGTGCTGCCGGCAAGACGCAGACGGTATAGTAACATTTAACGAGCTCTGCACATGTGAACCGGCGCCCTCGGAGGAAATGGCGGGGCTAGTCTCCGCTGCCACAGAAAAAGCCGAAGCCGCTGCCACAGAAAGTGCCGAAGCCGTTGACCCTGCCGCTACTGAACACGGCGGCCCAAATACAACGGAATCATCGTCATCCCAAGCAGTGCCCAGTCCGGCGGCGGAGAAAGCTGGGGAGATGGCGTCTCCCCCTTCAGTTGAGGTCAGAATTCTTGCACCCATCGATATTGATATGTTTTGCAGTGTGCCTTTAGATGTATTTATTAAGAATCTTTAGATAACCCTAGTTCACTTTTTGCTTACATCTGACTATCCTCAGATTTGCAACCACTCCTGCTGGGTTTTGTAACGGTATGTCTATAAACTCGTGTTAACCTTTCCATAGATGGGGCACTCGACAAATTTACTTCATAAGCCCCATTAAACTGCCACACCTACTGGTCCACTGACCGAGGTCAGACCGCCAATCACCAACTGACCCCGTCCCTCCCGGCCCCCATGTTACAGTGACGGGGTCCGCATCCCTGACGCCGGCAGTGCTGTGTCGAAGAGATAGCCGTCCAACGCGGTCGACACGGGCCACTCAATCGCTGCATGGAACTGCTCACAGCGGTGGATCGGGATGCCCCCTCCCCCCACAGTATCTGTATCATGCAATGACGGTGAAGAGTCAACTGTGATCATCGCGCAGTAAAAGATGGTCGCTGTTCAATGTGGTGGTTTCAGCAAGTGGCATCGCCGATACGGGAGTATCAGTACACGACAAACTATTGAAATCACGACTTTGCGCAAATGTTTGAATGTTTGAAAGCATTGGATGATAGAAGTAAGATCCCGGGCCGTGGTGTGTGCGATCACGAGGCAGTCTATTTATTCTGTCACGGACAAACGTCACCCCATTCCAGGCGCTGCTCCGGTAATATTGGACGGGGACAGCGTGTGGTGCCCAGAAGGAAACAGCGAGCTGAAAAAAATCGTCTCCGGGAACAGTCGTCCCGGAAAAATCACACAGCGCACAATAAACTAGCGGCTAAAAATTGTAGTTCAGCGAACGAAGAAATGCGTACCTACCGTATCTTGGTACCAAGCATGATCAACCTTGGGAAATGGGGAATACCATTTCCCTCTCAACTTCGCAACGCCCGAGCGAGCCGAGTAATGAAAGCACCATTTGAAAATCGATTGCAGGATGTGCAGAAATTCGCATACATTTCTACCAATCATAAGTCTTCCGGTGCCTACTCTCAGTTTTACGGCTTCAATGCGCAATTTACAGAGCCTGCAAAGTGCAAGGAACAGTTGCAAATGCAATTTGTCTATATCACTGAAAAATGGGAGGTTTGCTACGTCTTAGCCACTTGAATACCTAAGAGCATGAAACAATGTGCACACAAGGGCGCACACAAGGGGGGGGGCACACGGGCCCGTGCCCCCCCCCCCATTCGAGTTGGGGGGCCCAACTCGAAGGAAGGGGCCCATTTGAGGCGGCCGAAGGCCGCCTCAAATGGGCCTCTAACTAATCCTTAGACCACCGAAGACAGTGTACAACGGGCCCTCAAATGGCCTTAAAGGGTCCTCAGATGGTCTCAAAAGGCCCTCAGATGGCCTCGAAGGGCCCTCAGTTAGCGTCATAGGGCCCTCATCTGGTGTCAAAGGGCCCTTAATGGTGTCAAAGGGCCCTCAGATGGCCTTAAGGAGCCCTCAGATGACCTCAAAGGACTCTCAGATGGCCTTAAAGGGCCCTCAGATAGCCTCAAAGGGCCCTCAGCTAACGTCAAACGGACGTCAGAAGGCCTTAAAGGGTGTCAAAGGTCCCTGAGCTGGCGTCAGAGGGCCATGCCCTTGCGTCAAATGGCTCTCCGAAGGCTCTAAAGGGTCCTTAGCTGGTGACAGAGGGCCCCCAGCTGGTGCCAGATGGCCACCAGCTGGCGCCAAATGGCCATCAGAAGGCCTCAAACAGTCCTCAGTTGGCGTCAAGCGGCCCTCAAAAAGCCTCCAGGGGCCCTTAGAAGACCTCAAGGGGCCCTCAGAAGACCTTAAAGAGCGTCAAAGGGCCTTGAGCTAGCGTCAGAGGGCCCTGAGCTAGCGTCAAACTTAAAGTGCCCTTAGCTGGTGTCAGAGGGCCCCAGTTGGTGTCAGAGGGTCATCCATTGGCGTCTAATGGCCATTAGAAGGCCCAAAAACGATCCTCAGCTGGCGTCCAACGGTCCTCAGCTGACGTCAAGAGACCCTCAAAAGGCTTCAAATGCCCCTCGACTGCTCAAAGGGCCCTTAGAAGGCCTCAATGGGAACTCAAGAGACGTTAAACGGCCCTCAAAAGGCTTGAAAGGGCCCTCTGCTGATGGCAAAGGGCTCGCACCTGAGTCAATAAGAGCCTTGTCAAAAAACGGACCTGAGAAACCTTGCCGGCCCTGGTTATCTGCGGGACTCCTACACTTACCTGAGTGGCCCCCGTTTACTGAGGGGCCCTGGTTATTGATGGGGTCCCTGGTTACTACCAGAGGGGCCATGGTCACCTGGTGGGCCCCTGATCAATTGAAAACCCCTGGTCATCTGAAACGCCCCTGATTACCTAAAGGGTCCCATCACTTGGATTCAGTGACATAGCAAGGGAGCGAGGGGGTACGTGCCCGTTCTCGGGTTTAAGGTTCCTTCGAAACCGAGGGGCCCTGCGGCGCCAGTTGGTAGCAGAGGGTTCGCGCTGGCCGCACTTCAACTCGGAAGGACACCACAGGGCTTGTGGGGGGACGTTATTGGCTCCTATGTAGCCACAATTATCTTCATAAAGGCCCAATGCCGGTTTCTGAGAGACCTCGCCGGCCGCTCAGGGCCCTAAGTAGTAACGGCCAACGAGGGATTGGCTGCTATGGCTCCACATGTCTGTGATAGACACACGGTCCACACCAGTGTTTCTAAAGGCACCCACAACGGCAACTGCGAGGCCCCTCGCCCCACCTCCAAGGGACCCCCACCAGCGCACCTTAAAGGAAATAGTTCACTTTCCTGAAATTAGTATTTTGCTATGGATTTATGTTTTTTATGCTCAAAATGATCAGAAAATAAGACAAAACGTTTTTGTAAAAAGGATTATTTTTTATATTTTAGTATAAGAAGAACTATATTCTATATAAAATAATGTTTGACGCGGAAGCTTATTACGCGTTGACCAATCATATTGCGTAGGACAAACCCATCGGCTGTAAGCAGCATTCTGATTGGCTGACGATGACGTGACTGCATTCCTCAGCAAGGCACGCATTCCTCTGCAAGGCACTCTTTTCGGAACGAAAAATGGAATATCTTCGTCTAGGGTGATCGTTGGGCCGTAAAAGCTTCTGATTTGTGCTAGTCTCAGCGCAAGCAACAAAACTGCTATTCCAGTTCCAAACCCCATGTTAAAAGTGAACTATTTCCTTTAAGGGCCTACATCGGCGGCTCTGAGAGTCCCCACACCGACGCCTCTGAGGGCCACGTACCAGTGACTCTGAGGGCCTCTTACCAGCCTCAGAGTGTCCTTGCCAGCCTATGACGGGCCACTTTTCACTTGCAGGCCATTTTGCAGGGCCACACACATGCCAATGATGGCCCCACCAGTGTCTCTAAGCCCTAAGACCCCGCAACGGCGCCTGTGAGGACCCAACACCAGCGCATCTGACGGCCTTTCACTGGCACCTTTGAACGCGCCACACACCGGTGACTCTGAGGAGCTCGCTCGCTTCGCTCGCTCGTAAAATACCATGTAAATTAGGCATTAGTGTACATTAGGCACACTCCTCGGGCATAAATGATACTTTTGCTTGCCAATTTCCCACATTTTCTCATGCAAAGACCGTTTTAAAGAGACCCGTCTGCCAGTGAGACTGGACCCACCGTGCCTCCCTCCTCCCATCGAAAGGTCCTGGGTATGTACATCCTTGCCTGAGCTGATCCCGGGCGCCCGGGTGACTCGCGGGCCCGGGGTCAGGTGACCAGCAGGTGACCCCCTCTTGGGCGAAATTATGGGTACGTGTCCGACATGCATCGTACATAGTCCTGTTGATTTGATTCATTGGTTAATCATTAAATATAAGTTATAATCTGGATCTCCAGTCTGTGATCCCGCATCGTATCAGATATAATGACATTTCATGTCGATGTGCCTAAAAAAATATGCGAATATACGTAGTGAAAAAGGAGTGCTGCTCCCGCTCCTACACATCCGGGCCAAACAGTGACCGGCCCCTACTTCTAGCCACCCGGGGCCGGTCGGCCGGCCGGCAGTCAGTCGCTGCCCGGGGCTGATTTCTGAGGGACCTGCAAAAATGTTTAATAATGAAATGTTTTACGTAATAAATTAGATGATTAGGTACATATATGTACCGGCCCTGAGTCGCATTTGAGAAAAAACAGCCTAGCGTAAAAATATATGTTTTGAAAATTAAGCTGGTACCGAAATAATTGTTTTACCATGCATTGACAAACCAATTGCTCAAGCTTCAAACCAACCGAAATATAGCCCCGTGGGCCGTATTTTTTCTTGGGGGGGGGGGGCCTTCGGCATGGGGGGCCCAGTTCGAAGGTCGTGCCCCCCCCATTCAAAAATCCTGTGTGCGCGCCTGTGTGCACAAAAAATGTATCCAAATGCATTGTCGCATCGAAATTGCATAGGTAACATATAAGCAGTTACCAGATGTACAGATGTATACCTAGTTGAGATCGGACACACAAGAAACCATCACACCGACTTCGCTGCCGTCTGGAACGCTTTCAACTGACTATCGCGACGCCAACTTGGCATTTTTACTTGAACGATTTAGTGCCGCGTCATCGCCCACTCCTTTCTCGTTTTTAGTTCTCGCCTTGCTCCGCCTCTCCGCAGGCTTCACTCGCGGGTTCACCTCAGTCCCACACCTCGCACCACTCTTCTCTGTCCTCTCACTGGTCTTTCCACTACGCTCCTCTCTCCCCACTCTCTCCGGCGACTCTGTCCTCTCGTGGCGGTCCTGCACACGCACACCGTGCCCCTGCCAGGCTGATGAGTGCCGGGGCGGGTCGCCCCTGCCACTATCACCGTCCGGCCGTCGGCGGTACGGGCCGGCGACGTGCCGCTCCCGCACCCTGTTGGACGCCAGGGTGTGACGAAGGGTGTTCGCCAAGAAGCGTTTGTCAGTGTTGGGTACGGTCCCAGGCAGCCAGGCCATCGAGCCACCCACCTGGGCGCGAGCCTCACCACGCTTTGCCTCCTTGAGAAGCTCTTCGGCTGCCAGCCTGGGGGCAAGGGAGGACATGTCAGGCGAATGTTAATCTTGCAATGGAATGCAAGATCAACATGAGCTCATACAGAGGCGGATCCAGCTCAGAGTTTTGGGGGGGGGCAAACCATAGAAATTTATCGATTCTTTCCATGCATCGTCCATAGGCGTAATGTTAACATCATGCCGTTTGGGGGGGGCAAATGCCCATTTTGCCCCCCCCCCCCCTGGATCCGCCACTGAGCTCATAAGAATGTTGCTTTGGGTGCTGTTGATCATTTAGAAGAAAGTCTTTTAGAAGAAAGATGGTTGCGCCTGGATTTTCTCACTTACAAAACCTATCTTTGGGGCTTCTAGCATTTTGGCAGGGGACATTTCCATTCAGCATACAATCACACTGAAGTAGAGCCTTGCACTAAAGTGATAAAGGAAGGAATCTCACTGGAATGAATAAAAACAGTGAGTGACGCGCAATCACTCACCTGGCAAGCTGAAAGAGTCCAAGTCAGACACTCGCCCAACACTCACCTGTTGAGATCCTCGTCGTCCATTTTGGAAGATTTTAGAACATCTAGCTGTCAATATGTGCTGGGTTAAAAAGACGTTCACCAGAGCCACAGCCTTATCCTAACAATCCTCGAAATTTGTGCATATTACTCAAATTGACAGGAACCCTTGACAGACACATCACCGCGCATGGGATAGATACACGAGTTACACTTGAGTTACACAATACACAAGCACCTAGCCAATATTTGTTGTCTAGTCGCAAGCGTCTCAATCACGCAGAAATAGTCACGCGTTTTCCCTTCAACTTTCACAGAGAAACTTTCGCACATTTTTCCTTCAATGATTTTCCTAAACCATCGAAAATATTTTGCTTATTGCTGCCTATGACTGGACTTGAGAAAAAAATAAATTTGAAAAAAAAACATTTTCACAAACAGGAAAAAGGCCAGAGCAACAATTTGATTTCAACACACTCCAAACCCCTAATGTCTGAGCCGCGTATGAAGTTTTCCCTTCGTAGCTGTCCTAACGGAAACCATATCCTTACAAGTTCCTAGGCAACTGGGTCGGAAACTGACACATGCCCTAAAACAGACACATGCCCTAAAATTTTCAAAGCTTGAAATTGAAATGGGAGGAATGTGATATTTATCACATGGCCGGAAGGTTGTATTTTCGTATTGTGGAGTTCTCTATATACCGTGGTGGGCTAGATTCATTTCTCGTGAGGAGGAGAGTCCTGGGCTCTTGACTGATGAGACTGGCAATGCTTACTAAAATTATTGCACAGTAGTACTACTGTTATCTGTGTTCTAAGTAATTCCTTTTTCTGTCTTCAATTTTCAGGTGTAAATCTTCATCACAGTTCATTCTATCAATTTTTCAGGTTCTTTGGCATTTGCCACACATTTTGACTAGGTACATCATGTTTCCACAAAATACAAATGTTTTGAGTAGTAATAGACAAATATATATATTGAGACGGGTTATACAGCACATTGGGTGGACGCGTTTCGTCTAAATGACTTTTTCGACACCCTCTCGGAAATTAAAACAATACAAACACACAAGAATAAAACTAGCACAGCAGTCTCACACTCTGTTGAAATACAGCATGCTAAGAATGCGCATTACTACAAATGATAACCTTCGATAAAAACTATTTGTCGGTACACAGCTACTGTTACATAATCATCGACGAGAATAGAAATAAAAATAGCACACTTATAACGACTCGAACGGTAAGTTTTTTAAGTCAAGTTTTTAATGCTGAACACTGCTGCTGATTTTGCCCACTTAATAAACCCTACCCTGGTATTGATCGTATCGTTCGTTGTAATAAATGCCGCCTCGGTCGCTCTCCGACATCCCTTGTTCCCACAATTCGCTAACACTTTTGCCCCGTCCCAATTTGGCAAATGACTAGTGGAATGTGAGTGAACAACAAAGGCACTGTGGTCGGCGTCGTTTCGTATGTCTCGCTTGTGCTCTTTTAATCGTGTTTGGATTCCCCTACCAGTTTCTCCAATATAAGATTTGTCGCAGTTACCACACGGTACCTGATAAACTACGCTAAGTTCTCTATTTCTAGAAGTTTTCTTTTGAGTTAACTCACCTATCTTCTTTCCAGTGGTCAGTGCCACCTTGAAGCCTGTAGTTTCGAGTTTCTGAGTGATGCTTTCGGCTACTTTTGAGTTCGGTATTGAAATAAATCGTGTGTCTTTCTTTCGAGCTGTTTCGTTCCTCGTTTTGTTTCGAATGTCTAAAGCCTTCTTTTTCAAACGAATGAGAAGACGAAACGCGTCCACCCAATGTGCTGTGTAACCCGTCTCAATACAAATGTTTTTTTTTCCACAACGACAACCATTTATGTCTAGATCTTTGCCAATGTTGTCGGTGAATCTTTGCACACAAGTTATCATCTGTCCAATCTCTCCATGATTAACTCTTAATTATTCATTCATATTTCTTTTATTAGCTTTGCCGTCAATCAGTATGTTTGGGACATAATAGATAATTTGTAAGGCATGTTTTGCTATCTTGCTACATGTGCTGGGCAATTCACAACTTTTTAAAAGCTTTTTTCCTTCTCCAGGTAGGTAATCTACTACAACAGCATCAGAACTTGGAAGCCACGCTGCCTCTGTGAGCTGCAGCCAGTTACTCCGCTGCAGAGAGCAGGAGTGGTGTGAACCGGTCCTTAGCTGCCACCAGAAGCGGATGCGCGTGGCGCCGCTGCTGGTATCAGCGGTTCGGCGTGGTATGAGCGTGTTCACACAGCGCGTAAACCCCGTGACGGGCGTCGTGGACTGGGAGATGCAGCCCGAAACGTACGACTACCAGCAGGAGGTGGCCCGCTCGGCGTACGCCGATATGCTGCACGACACCGAGCGGGTGAGTCGGCCGCATTCGGCATTGCAGGGCGCTGGGGGGGGGGGGGGAGTTTACCGGCAGAAAGGAAGTTAACCGGCAAGAGACTAGAAGTCAGATGTTAAGAGTTGTTGGGAATTAATCGTAGTATGGCATTAAATTTAAGGCACTGTATGTAATACCTAGGTAGTTTATTTTCAAATGAACAATTGTAAGTTGTAAACAGATCAGCATAAAAAGCTGCATTTATAATACAGGGTGACACAAAAAAAAACGGTCATCACCAAAATTCGAATAACTTCGGAAGTTTTATTCAAATCATCACCAAACTTCGGCCACTTTAGGTCACACCTATGTAGCAGACATCCACCAAGTTTCAAGTCTTCATTACGAATACTTTTAGTACAGTGTGTGTTTTACGGACGCTCCACAATGTGCTCCAGGTGAGCGCCCCGGCGCTGCAGGGCGTAGGCACACCTGCATCCGGCGGGCAAAGTTGTCGATAACCCGATAAGAATAACGTTTCAGGGGTAGCACACCCCCTGAGCACTGTCTCCAGAGGCCATTGCACTCTGTAAAGTGCACAGCCATCGGGTTATCGACAACTTTGCCCGCCGGATGCAAGTGTGCCTACGCCCTGCAACGCCGTGGCGCTCACCTGGATGGAGCACATTGTGGAGCGTCAGTAAAACACACACTGTACTAAAAGTAATCGTAGTGAAGACTTGAAACTTGGTGGATGTATGCTACATGGGTGTGACCTTAAGTGGCCGAAGTTTGGTGATGATCTGAATAAAACTTCCGAAGTTAGGTATTCGAAATTTGGTGATGACCGTTTTTTTGTGTCACCCTGTACCACAGTTACGTTCGTCTTCTCTCCTATTATTATTTTTATTCCGTTTTTTCAGAACCAAAAGTACGAGCAGGGTCTGAAGGCGGCTGTTACGGCGTTGCGCGCGGCCGGCCGGCCCGTCCATGTGCTGGACATTGGTACTGGCACCGGACTCCTCTCAATGATGGCGTGTCGCCTGGGAGCCGACTCGGTCACCGCCTGCGAGGTAAGGTAGCCCCGGAGAATGTTCGCGTGGGGCTCATCGGTCTGTTGGACGCCGTTAGTCGGTGATCTCTCATCAATCTTGTCAACAGAGATGATATTTGTTGATCTATGCATCATTGTCCTTGTATTCTAAATTAGAAGTTAGCGTGTGTTAACGATGTTTAAGCTTCATCATTTATGATGATCAGACTTTTTTCGTCCCTGTTTGTATGTTTACGACTTACGGTTCAAATTATCACTTATTACTTATCACTGGTTCAATCTAGAACCTGACTGTCCCCGCCCTGCCAACCCAGTGGCACGGACCTGTCCCTGACTCCGTTCCCTGTGCCCGCAGGCGTTCCGACCGATGGCCGAGTGTGCCGGCCGCATCCTGGCGCAGAACGGTCTCTCGGAGCGCGTGCACCTGGTGCCCAAACGGTCCACCGAGCTGACTGTGGGGCCCGAGGGAGACCTGTCCCGCCGCTGTAACCTGCTGGTGACCGAGGTGTTTGACACGGAGCTTATCGGAGAGGGCGGCTTGCAGACGTTCAAACACGCCCACCAGCATCTGCTCGAGGTGAGATACACGATTGTGTGAGAATGTGCTCCTGCTGAACGGCACATGCTCGGGTGAGCCTGTTATGGCCGGGGAAACACAATCGTCTTGCTTATGAGAGAGTGAGGCTCATGATTGTTGCCTGATTTTGCGAGGGGTTGAGACGATCTGCTGACTTTGTGGGGGATTGAAGTACATTATCATCGGAACCTGTGAAGAATGTTTACTATTCACTGGTCGCGCCTACTCTGTTGGTGTATGTTGCATTGAGTCCCTGTCCCCTCTCCGTTCCCCCAGCCGGGCTGTCTGGTGGTACCCTCGTCAGCAGTGGTGTACGCCCAGGTGGTACAGTTGAGACCTCACTGACCCCCCCTCTCCCCCAGCCGGGCTGTCTGGTGGTGCCCTCGTCAGCAGTGGTGTACGCCCAGGTGGTACAGTTGAGACCTCACTGACCCCCCCTCTCCCCCAGCCGGGCAGTCTGGTGGTGCCCTCGTCAGCAGTGGTGTACGCCCAGGTGGTACAGTTGGGACCTCACTGACTCCCCCTCTCCCCCAGCCGGGCAGTCTGGTGGTGCCCTCGTCAGCAGTGGTGTACGCTCAGGTGGTGCAGTCGGCCGCCGTGCGCCGCTGGAGTCGCTTCTCTCCTCTGGGCTCACTACACGTGCCGGATGACGTGTCCGAGTGCCACGGCGCGGCGGCCGTACACGACCTGCAGCTGAGCCAACTGAGCAGCTCAGACTTCACGGCGCTCTCACAGCCGGTGCCCGTGTTCGGGTGGGTGACGGCGGCGACTGGGGACTAGGCAATGGACAGAATATGGGTTCATAGGGCTTACGCTGCAAGTTAGAACATAGCTAGACTCGTATAGGTTTTATATTGGGTCGAATGCGCTCTTAATCTGTCTTTGCAAAAGGGGAGGAATCTTGCATCAGTCTCGCTGTCTTCTCTTCCATCTTTGGCGAAGTCAACTAGAAGCTTTTTGGTCATTTGTCGTCCTGTAATTTAAAAACATTAAACGACACTTCTCGTTTTTGTCGAGGAGTTATATGCGAGATAAATCAGACTTGTGTACCAAACAGTTGGGTTCATTTGCCTGTTGATAAATTGCTCACTTTCTGCGATACGTGATTCAGTTGGCCTCAGGCGTGTCTATTCCGACCGACACTGACCATTCTTCTCACCCTGACCGGTGGCACAGTTTCGACTGGACCAACCGGACGCCGATCGTGTTCGACCGGACATCGGTGGCGCGCGT